GCGTGACTTGATGATGGTGGCTAAAGAAAAAGGAATAAAAAGTTATGTGAATTGGTAAACGAATAATGTGGACAGCTTGACTAGGTATCTTGGGAGATGGTGGACGGACCGAGTCCGTAGGGAACCCTATCGGGAACGTGGTTTCTCATACCGGACGGGGTATGGAGACCTTATGTGTTTTGGCGCCCATACCGGACGGGGTATGGGGACGGCCCTGGAATCAGGTTATAAATGTTAAGGGTTCACGGGTAGCGGGACTCCTATGGATCCCCATGGATACTAGTAGGCTGGTAAAGAGGAATTATGTTGTTTAAAGATTGAAATGCAAACGCGTGATAAATGTTGTATTATAAAGTCTATGTGATAACGTGATGATGATAATGTGTTGCTTGTGTATTGTTTTATGGATCTCACCTGGTAAATGGAAAGTAAACATTTTTATGAACAAATGGGTTTATTACAAATTATGCTCCATTGGTCGTTTTTGTTTTCTACCCATCCTTACTCCTGTGACAGTGAGGTAGAGTGATGTCTTTAATGGGTTAGTGTAGCTCACTTCTTACTTAACCATTTCAGATCAGGAAGACGTGGTTCCCGAGCCCGTTCCGCAGGAAGACGGCGAAGGGGACGCCTGAAGACTCTGTAGTTATATTTATAGTTTTTATTTTCGAGTTTCTCTTTTAATTAGTTTGTTCTTTTATACTTTGAGCACGTTTTTTGTTTTAATGTAAGGAATATTAATCAAAAATTTTATTATGCTTTCGCATTTGACCTTTTTAATACAAATATTTCATTTTAAAATTCCGGAATCGTTACATTTAAATTCTAGTCAAGCACTCTTTTACGAGGAAGAAGAGTCATACATAACACATAATATATATATATATGTATGTATATATAACAAATGAGATTAGTAGGAATTTTGCAATAATCACGTGACCGAAATTTAATTCCACATGGTGGAATGGAATTTCATAAACTTGGTTAATGATATTTTGCACATATCATGTTTAAATTTTAAACGTTGACTATTTGTTAACTTGTTATATATATATATATATATGTATATGTATATTATACATATGCATGTGTGTATGAGATCTATTATTGGGATCCATTCTAATGTGCAATGACTTACCATGAAAACGAGTATGTACAATTACAAACGCACACCATCTCATATGTATGTATATATGCATACATTTCTCATGCAGGGTTAGAGAATTTTACATGCAAAAACAAACACAAAGGTGGAAATTTTCAAAAAATTCTGAAAAATTTACAGTTTAATAATGGTTAAAAATTAAATAATTAAACTGAATAATTAATATATTTATTTTTTTATAAGACGTCGTTGATTAATATTTATATTATTTAATTAGTAAATATAAAAATTAAAAATAAATACTATTTGATTTTCTATTGGGTTGTAAATTAATTAATTTTTATTAATTTTTTATGTGCTGAATTAGCTAGTTTTGAGATTCACAATTATTTTTAAATAAAGAAAATAGATAAGCTTCGTCTTCATTAAATTTCACATATAATATTTATATTGTGAGCTGGAAACAATCAACTATTTCTTGAAACTTTGAAAGTTGTGGATGTACGTAAACTAACGAGTATGAAGTAGCAGGATTTGCTGGATCTTGGTTTTCAAAGAAGAAGAAGAAGAAAAACCAGGAGTTTCTTATTTTCATGCGAACTAACCATCTTTCCCTAATTTCTTATTATATATTATTTATGTGTATATATATGTCCTTTTTGTTGAAGTAAACTCATCACGCTCACATCCAGTTCCTCTACGCGTTTAGTTCCATTACTTAAACTAAAAAATCAAGTTGGAGTTTTCCATTAAATGACGATCCGTTCTTGGCTGCGCCATCCGCGCTTCTTCAGATCTTTCTTCCTTCTCAGGTTCCCGCCGACGAGTTTAAGTAGAAACCAATTTTGAAGTCAAATCGATAATTATGTATTTTAAAATTAATTTTCTTCTGTATAATAATATTTTTTAATCAGAGCTCCAATGGAGAAGCATGTTAAGTTAAGCATTAAGTGCGCCGCAAATGACCTTCTGCTTGCATGGCTGTCATGGCTATCTCCCTCACCGCTCCTCTATCTTCTTTCTGTATATAAATAAAATCCGTTCTCCTTGTTTCTCATCCCACATTTTCCTGGAAAAGTGGAATTTACTAGACTTTTTACTTGCTATCTTCTGGTATGAGTAAGTAACTGAACAAAAAGCAGAGTAATCTGTTTTAGCTCTGTGTTTTCCTTGTGAAATTCTTGGAGCAGAATATCTGAATTTGGAGAAATGAAGCGAGATATTTCAATTCAATTTTTAGTTGGGTTAGTGGGTTGGTTGAGTTTTTTTGTATGGGTGAATAATGCAGAAGATCCATATAGATATTACGATTGGGCAGTTACATATGGTACAATTGCCCCTCTTGGTGTTTCTCAAAAGGTTGATTCTTACTTCTGTCCCACAATTTCCCTGTTTTACCCTCAAAAGCTTATCACATAATCCATTGTTGGCTTCCCATTTTTACAGGGAATCCTGATTAATGGAATGTTTCCTGGTCCTCCAATTGAAGCAGTCACCAACGACAATTTAATTGTGAATGTTATCAACAAATTGGATGAACCTATTCTCATTACCTGGTTAGTTTTTGCTCTCAATTTGTGAAATTCTTTCTTTAATGGGTCTGTTTTGTTGTAGAATTAAAATTAGTGGGTTGATTTGAATTAGGAATGGGGTTAAACAGAGAAGAACTTCATGGCAAGATGGAGTTCTGGGAACCAACTGCCCAATCCCTCCAAATTCAAACTGGACATACAAATTCCAGTTGAAAGATCAGATTGGAACTTTCACATATTTCCTCTCAACTTTAATGCACAGAGCTTCTGGTGGGTTTGGAGCTCTCAATATCAATCAACGTTCTGTCATATCAATTCCATATCCCACTCCTGATGGAGATTTCACACTACTTGTTAGTGATTGGTTCAATGCTGGCCACAAGGTTAGTAACAAATATATTCATCATCAATTCATGATCATATTCATCTCCCTTCCTCACTTGCAAATTTTTAAATTTTCACCAACATATAGAGTTTTATTCTTGATGTGCCAAGGAATTACAAAGACAACTAGACGCAGGCAATCCTCTTCCGAACCCAGATGTCCTTCTCATCAATGGTGTTCAGAAATCTTTATCCTTTACCGGTATAATAGGTAATAATTATAGATGTTTTAGTACTGTCTTTTTAGCTTTGAATTTTCCATAAATGTAACATGTATATCAATGAAATGTTTCAGGCAAAACCTACAAGTTTAGGATCTCAAATGTTGGAATTGCAACATCAATCAACTTCAAGATCCAAGGCCATACCATGACACTTATTGAAGTTGAAGGAGCTCATACTTTGCAAGAAGTTTACGAATCACTCGACGTTCATGTTGGCCAATCTGTGACAGTCTTAGTTACCTTAAATGGAAATCCACAAGATTATTACATTATTGCTTCTTCACGTTTCACAAAGCCAGTCTTCACAGCTACAGCAGTTCTTCATTATGCTGGTTCTAATACTCCAGTCTCGGCCCTCCCTCCTGTCGATCCAAATTTCAGACTACATTGGTCTATGAAGCAAGCTAGAACAATTAGGTACTACACCAATTAATCATTTTTCTTTTTTACTATATATTTTACACAAGTTTTTAGAATAATTGATCGTAATCTACAACTCATTTATAAAGTTAATTTGTACTAATTTCTCATTTCGTTTCAACAAGGTTGAACTTGACAGCAAATGCAGCTAGGCCTAACCCACAAGGGTCATACCATTATGGGACTATACCGATTGTTAGGACACTTATTTTGGCCAATGCAGCAACTAAGATCAATGACAAACTCCGATATACTGTTAATAGAGTATCGTATGTAGATCCAACGACACCATTGAAGCTTGCTGATTGGTTCAACATCTCCGGTGTGTTTAACTTTAACACAATTAAGGATACTCCAACTGCCGGTCCTTCATTCCTTGGCACCTCAGTTATTGGAGTCATACTTCATGATTTTGTCGAAATCGTCTTCCAGAATTATGAGGATACAGTCCAATCTTGGCATACTGACGGAACTAGTTTCTACGTTGTCGGGTATGATTCTAATCTATTCAGTATCCGATTAGAATTAGATCACTCGTATTTCTTGGATTAAACACTAATTGATATGAATTTTGTTGTACAAAAATTTCAGATATGGTAATGGAACATGGACACCTTCCATGAAAAAACGTTACAACTTGGTTGATGGTATTAACAGGCACACAGTTCAGGTAAAGACTGATCTCTTTTTTTCAAAAACAAAATTATTTTAGTACAAATATTTGTTTTTTTTTTCAAAAAAGAAAAAGAAAAATTGGGTTTGTGGATTTGGCACTAACAGATTATGTATATGTATACGTATGTGTGGTGTATGTATAGGTGTATCCAAAATCATGGACGGCTATATTGGTGGCATTAGACAACAAAGGAATGTGGAATTTCAGGTCTCAGAATTGGTCAAGAAGGTACCTTGGCCAACAGCTGTATGTGAGAGTTTGGAACGACGAGCGCAGCCTGTTCACGGAGACTGATGTGCCGCCCAATGCGCTATTTTGTGGAAAAGCTAAGAAGCCTTAAAATATATATATATATATATAATATTTTCTTTCATTTTTCTAATTAAAATTTTAATTATTATTCTTTTGAATGTTGAAAATTTCAGTTACTAAGGGGTGACTGTTTGTCATTTGGTCTAAGAAATGTATTTTTATTTATTTTTTTAATGTTTATAGGAAGAGTCTGCTTCTACAATCACTGTTCTTAGATCTAACTATATTATAGTTCACAAATAAGAAATTCCCATTTCAATAATCTCATCTGATATTAATATTCAATTCTTCATCTTCTTCTTCCTCCTCCTCCTCACAAAATATATATGTATAAATATGTTAATGGGTATATGCACATACTGGGTTCGACTGGAATGGAGATGGGTTTCAGCCCATTGTGTATATAGATATATATATATATATATATTTACTTCGATTTATTAGCTGTTTGAAATTAGGAAGATTTTTTAAATTTGGTTTTATACTCACCTCACTGAGTTTCCACTTAGATAGAACTCAATTCAACTAGCTGCAATGAGTTTGAGGAAGTAAATTAATATGCAATTGATCAAAATTAATCACCTAATTAATATTCCCCATTTCACCAACTAATCTCGGACCTTTGATACATTATCTTTAGGTAACACACCTTAAATCACACATTAGAAAAACAAAAAAAAAAAAAAAAAAAAAAATAGAAAACTTGAATTAACCTACAGCCATGTTCATATACCAGACCCCTACATACCCACAATGGAAATGTCAAAAAAAAAAAAATTCTAAAAAAAAAAAAAAACTCAAGATTAGCATATGAACGTAATGAAATACTAAAATCATACTAGAATAAAGTGGAAAAAGGCAAATTGAAGGCTCCTCCTATAATGGATATGCACCATTAGTTGTTGAAAGATCAGCCCAAGAAAAGGCAGGATTGTTCCAGGTGTAACCCAGTTCAGTTGGAGCCATTGGAGCTGACTCCAATGTGTATGATGATGAAGAAGACGAAGTTGAAGATGAAGAACAAGCCATATTGCTGAGATGAACCGCTGCTGAATTATCGTTGTAGTAAGTACTTGCTGATGATCTGAGCCTCTGATACAGTTCTTGAATCCCACTACTGGTCTGTTCTTCCCCAGATAAAAACCCGTTTTGTTGGGTCTGATTTTGACTAGGGTTCTTCCACAAGGAGCTGGAAAGACCTAGAGAAGGAACCTGGCTAAGTGGGTCAACACCCAAGGGCTCGAGAACTTAGCACAGCAGCAGCTGGTTCAGTACTTATCATGGGTGAATGTGATCCAATAAAACCCACCTCCTCCTTCACACTGCTAACTTGGTTGGATAATAATGTAGTAGTATTAGGGTTTTGAGGTTGTCTAAGCAAGGCTAGAAGATGGGAATTGTGTGGTGAGGCGGTCCATAGAAAAGGAGTTGATGGAAGCTGATCGTGATCGAACCCATTTGCAAGACCGCCTGATCTTCCAATCTCAGAAACCACGGATTTTAACTTGGCAGCTGCATTTGATTTTGTAATGGAAGTTGATAAAGTGGTGTTCTTGTTCTTCCTGCATCCACCTCCAATGGGAACATTTCTCAAGGCGCCTCCTTTAGTCCAGTAACGACGACAAGTTTTGCAGAAATGGCGAGGCTGAGTGAGATTATAGTTGTTGTAGTAGCAGAACTTGGTGTTTGAAGAATCACATCTGGGGCACCTCAAGTTTTGGTTTTCGGAGGTTGTGGAATTAGAATTAGTAGTAACAGAAGTAGTAGTAGTACTGCAACTATTATTTACAGTGGTAACTGTTGTTGTAGCTCCAGAGGAAGAAGAAGAAGAAGAAGAAGAAGAAGAAGAAGAGGGAGAAGGAGAAGAAGAAGGGGAAAGAGCGGCTTCTAAAATGGTAGGATTAAAGGATATCTTGTGCCTGTGATGATCTAGTCCTCCATTGATAAGACCAGTAGCTCCCAAGAGTTCTTGAATCATCTTTGAACCTAGATCTACTAACCACAACAATCTAAAAACAAGGGGAGAATGTTATTGGGTTTAGAGGAGAAAAGGTAAGAGATGGAGAAAGAATGGAGGATGGGGAATGGAGATGCTTTAATATAGATGTAGTAAGTAAAAAAAAAGTAATGGATGAATACATATATATATTTAGTGTAAAAGAAAAATAATAATTAATACCCACTAAAATTTTACATCCCTAAATCACTATTTGTAATTGAACCACACACACCCATGTTCATTAGGAGAAATGTATGATTTAATAGATTCTATGAATATAAATATATATTTTTTTTTAAAAAAAAATTTATAATTATGTTTCTGAAACAAGTAATAATTTGGCGTGAGAGAGAGGTGGAGGAGACACCGTATAGTTTCCTTACAAGATAATGTACGGGTGTATTGAGTAATTTAGAGGGTATTGACCACATTGTATCTCCATTTAATTATTTGAGTTTTTTTATACTGTAGAAACCTATATATATATATATATGTATTATGATGATGGGTGTATATATATATATGTGTGTGTATATATATATATATATATATATGGATAAAGGAGTGAATTAATGATGTGTGGAGTAGTGGGAGAATATATACGAATGATGGGTATATAGTTAGGATGATTAGGAGACGGGAGGTAATCACGTGGGAAAACGTGTAAAGTTCGAGGGCCCCACTTCGCATTTGTCCGAGACTTGTGGCTTCAATCTTGCTCTCAACCCCCTCGCACGCTCTCATTCACACGTGCGAACCTCTTCAATTTCCAATCAAATTAATTTATAATTAATCTATTAGGAGAAATTAACAAAAGGGATTAATAGAGAAGAAGATTCCCATGACTCATAAACAAGATTAGGGCAAGGCATGCGAGTGAAGAGAAATTAAAGAAGAGATTTTTTAACCAAATAATTACGAAATTAATCGAGTAAAATTACAGTCGAATAATTTTAAGTTAAACACAAACATGGGTTAGGATTAAACCAATTAAACAAGAGTTTCACGAGACTAAGTTTTGATTTGACAAAACAATCATAAAAGAATTTTGTTCACACTTGAAGATGAATGAACTTCATGATCGTGAGGGTAAATTTGGATTTCATCAAAAGATCCAAAAAAGAAAACCTCCCCGGCTGGTACTGAAACTGAGACCATAAACCTATTCTCATATTGAAGAGACAGACAGAGAGACTGTGTATAAACACACACACATATGTATATGTATATGTATATTATATAAGACAATTTAGAAATCAAGTTGATGTAATGTAATTCTTATCTGTTTCCCACCCAAAAAAAATTGCTAATAATGGGGTGGCAGGAATAGTTTTGAAGTATTGTGAGTGTGTGGAATTAAGTTGAAGTAGATAATATAAAAGAGATAGAAAGAAAGAAAGGAAGGATTGTAATTGAATGAGAAGGTTAGGAGGGATGAGGGGTCTACATGTCTCATACTTTAGGGGACAATTGGTCAATCATAATCTTGGTCTGGGGATTGTTGATTATCTTCAACTTAATCTTTCTCTAAATTTTAATCTTACCTTAATAATCCTAATTAATCATTCATAATCTTTTAACTCTTCTCCTTTCGTTTCTCATTATTGCTACCCTCTTGGTAGTTGAATCATGGACCCAATTTACTATCAATTACCATCTTTTTTTTTTTTATTTTTATTACTAATTAAACCCAACTAAATTTATCAAACACTTTAATTCATTTCAAAACATTAAAATACAATGTCACATTTTATAAATAATTATTTTATACTAATCTTTTACGACATAATATCTCTCATAAGTGATTATTCTACATTGATCGTGTTATTAACATGAGTATTCTTAATAAGATTAACTTGTATCTTATACTTGGTGTTAAAACTACGGTGCATAAGCATATATATATTTGAGTAAATTATCATGTCACGAGTTATGGACGTAATTGGTTTGTATCAAATTCATTGGAAGATTGATGGGTTGGAGTATGTGTGATGAAATGAAATGAAATATTAAAGGAAGGTTGTTGGATGAATGTTTATGACATGAAAGTAAAAGCTGTGTAAATCAACATGAACACGATCAAGTTAGTTGTTGGAAGGGAGACAAAGTTGATGAATTTGACAAATGATTTGTGTTTATGATCTTAAAATTTCTCCAACAATTATAAAAAGAAAGGTTTTCCTTTTAAATTATTATTTTTTACAAAAAAGAAAAAAAATGCAAACCGAGAAAGATTTTTAATTTTTAATTTTTTTAGCTTAAAAATAGTTGGGTCGAGTTTTTACATTTAGATTATACGGTCTAACATTGATATTTTTTTAAAAAAAGTTTTATCGTTATCAATATAATAGAATTCATGATATTTTAATGAATTTTGGTGAGAAAGATTTTTAAAGTTAGTTTGTAACGATCCCGGAAATATCCAAATGAAATAAAATATAATTAAAATGTGGAAGCGTAATAAAAATTTAGGATTTACATTCTTTACACAAATAATTTAAAGTATCAAACAGTGTTACGAAATTCACTATTTTGAAAGAAATACAAGAAATAAGGAAATAAACGAAAAATAAAAAAATCTACCATCTACTCGTAATTCTCTTGCGGATCGGACTCTGAAATCTGACCCTCTTGATTTGAAATTATTAAATAAGGGATGAGCTGCACTAGATCTGTAATGGCCTCGAAAATTAAATGAAGATGTATGTATTAAAAATCTTAAATGCGGAAGCGTAATAAAAATTTTTTGATTAACATCCCTTACACAATAACAAAAAACGTATTCAACGTATGAAAGAATAAACTAACTAAAAGAGATACTCGAAATAAAAACTATAAATAGAACTATAAAATCTTTAGGTGTCTAACTCGCCGTCTTCCTGCGGAATGGGCTCGGGAACCCCGTCTTCCTGATCTGAAATGGTTAAGTAAGGAATGAGCTACACTAGCCCAGTAAAGACATCATACTATTTCACTGCCACAGAAGTAAAGGTCGGTAAAAAATAAAAATGACCAATGGAGCATAATTCATAACAAACTCATTTATTAACATAAAAACTTTTACTGTTCACTTACCTCGGTGAGATTCATGAAAATAACATATGAAAACAATAACATTATAACCATCATAAAATCATATCGACTTTGTAACAGAACACATGTCATACTTTTGCACTTCAATAATCAGACAACAAATTTCATCTTTTACCAGCCTACTAGTATTCATGGGGATCCATAGGGGGTCCCCGCTATACGTGAACCATTAACATTAATAACCTGATTCCAGGGCCGTCCCCATACCCCGTCCGGTATGGGCGCCAAAACTATAAACCTCAATACCCTGTCCGGTATGAGGGTGAAACGGGCCGTCCCTATACCCCGTCCGGTATGAGCACCAAAACACATAAAGGTCTCCATACCCCGTCCGGTATGAGAGACCACGTTCTCGGTAGGGTTCCTTACGGACCCGGTCCGTCCACCATCTCCTAGGATATCTAGTCAGGCTGTCACATTATCTACTTATCAATTCACATAACCTTTTTG